ACACTTTACCAATGGAGCTATTGCCTCAGCCCCAAAACCTACCTTTCTTGAAAAGGCCTTAATTTTTATTACTTTTAATTACGTGCATATATCTGTGTGTGGGTATGTACACATGAGTGCAGGTGCCTGTGGGGGCCAGATGCATTGAATCCCTCTGGAGCTAGAGTTACAGGCGGCTGTGAGCAGACCGATGTGGGTGCCGGGAACTGAATTCTGCAATCCATGCTCTAAATCACTGAGCCATCTCCCCAAGGCCAACCTTTTAAAAATATTTTATTATTTTTATTTTATGTGTATGAGTGTATTGCCTGCATGTATGTGATGAGTGCACCCGTGTCGTGCAATGCCGTGGCGGCCAGAAGAGGGCTTTGGATTCCCCTGGAACTGGAGTTAAGGATGGTTCATAGCTGCCATGTGAGTGCTGAGAATCGAACCTGAGTCCTCTGCAAGAGCAGTCCATGCTCTTAACCACTGAGCATCTCTCCAGCCTCAAGGCCAACTTTTAAAGGTGGACAAGTACTGTTTGTGTTGAGTCATTTTCTTAAACTTCTGTATTGGAAGGTTCTCCACACTTCATTAGGAATTCAACTTCACATACCATATTAAAAGTATAAAGAACTTAGGCACATAGCTAGTGCTTGCTGGGCTTGGCATCTGGTCTCTGCTGGCACTTTTAGCACCCGCCAGGACTCCATTATATTTTTTCCAAAGCTTTTGCATAGTTTTTTCCTTTAGACCCTCAAAGCAGAGCTAAACGACAGTGACTATTCCTTGCCTTCACCTGCTTTCTTCTCTCTGGGTTCTTAACCTTTAGTGGTGCCAGGGTCACCTTAGGCCCCATTCTTAAAAAGTCTCAGATCCGGGGCGAGGCTCGGGACCTTAATTTCTGGTGTGTGAGGACCCACTGTGAGAGGCACTGATATGTACTGTCAAGTCTTGCACCTTTCTACCCTGGAATAGTTCTTTTTTAATGTTTTATCTGTTTTTATTTTGTGTGTATGAGTGTTTTTCCTGCATGTATGTAAGGGTAGCACATACATGCAATGCCCACAGAGGCTAGAGAGGGTGTCAGAGCCCCTGGAAGTTGTGAACCGCCATGTGGGTGTTGGGAACTGAACCCAGGTCCTCTGCAAGAACAGTCAGTGCTCTTAACCACTGAGCCAGCACCCCAGCCCCCTAGAATTTTTTTTTTTTTTTGATTGTTTTGTGTTTTGAGGTCTCCTGTATGTATCTCATTTTGTAGCTTCTGTTGACCTGGATATCAGTGTGTAGCCAAGGCTGGCCTCAGACTTGTTAATCCTCCTGCTTTAGCTTCCCAAGTGCTGGAATTACAGGTGTGAGCTGCCACACCCAGCGGCCCTGGAAGGCTTCTGTGTGGGTCCTATAAACTTGAAGCCCACAGACCCCTCAGGGTTTGGTCGTATCTTAGGGAAGCTCAATATGGTGACTTTCGGAAGCACGTGTGGCATCTATTTGCCTTTTTTTTTTTTTTTTTGAGACAGTCTATTACCCAGCCCAGGGTGGCCTGGAATCCCCTACAATCCTACCTCTGCCTCCCAAATGCTGGATTACAGGTGTACACCCAGCAGGCCTCTTTTTTTTGTTTAAATATTCTTCATGCTAATAGTGAAGACATTACCGTTATTTGCAGAAGAAATAGGCCTTACTGAAGTAGGCCCTAGCCCACAGGCCTGCTGCAATGGATGCTGCACTTTTGAACTGGACTATGGGCTTAGTGAATTATCCGTCATCTGTTGAGGACTCTGGACAGAAGTCTAGCGTGTTGGAGCTCTGTCTCCCCAGCTTCTGTGACCTTGAGAGGGACTAGAGCTGACTGTTTTAAGTCATGCCAACACCTTTTGACAGGCCTTCCATCAGCTCTTTAATGTTTGGTGGTCAGCTTTACCCTTTAATAACTGCGCCATCTCTCCAGCCCTCGCCTTTAGCTCTTCCACCTTCTTCCTACTGTGTCCATAGAAAGAGAAAGACTAGGTGTCTAATCTGTTTTGAGTGCCAAAGGATCTTGGTTCACTTGGTAGAATAGGGTTCACATCCCTATTAGGAAATCACCTGAGAGTTCCAGAGCTAACAACCTTCACATAGCAGTATAACAGTTTGCTCTCCCTATACTCTACTTGATAATGAAGTAGTCTGTCTGGGCATGGGTCTGTGTCTGAATACCCTCTGGATTTTTATAGACAAAATCTTGGCAGTAGAAATAAGGAGATACTTACTCTCTTACACCAGAAGTTGAATTTGTACAAAACTGTCTTAGGCAACTTGACATGCAGCTGCCTGTTCTGTCTACTCCCCTGTCCTGGCAGAGAATGAGGAAATGTGTGCGGGTCATGCAGGTGACAGCTGCCATGACTGCTGCTCTGGGATGGACTGTGAAAACCAACCAACCAGCATTCTGTCACTCGCACCCTGCTAACACTCAAAGCCCTCGTCTTCCTCAAGCCCGCCTTTTATCTTTACTAAGAGAGACTGCTAGGAGAAGTAAAATTACAACTTTTGGGTCAGATATCAAAGATGGAAAATTCTAGATCTGGGGGCATGCTTCTTTTTTCCTTTTGACCTTGAAGAAGGGAAGGGGAGTTGATCCTGCTCTTACGGCTGTCAGGACTGTCAGGACGTTTCCATCCACATCCCTCACTTCTTGGAGGTTTACACCTCATGTCTCTCTTTACTGCTGTCAGTGTTGTACCAGGAGTACCCCCACAGGTTTTAAATACAGACGGATAAGGGCTCACTTAAATGTAATAATGGGAGGTAGCCTGTGGTGTACCACAGAAAGTGTATGCCAGTTTAGGCATCACTCTCTTATAAGCATAATGATAAAGAAGTTAAGTCAATGCTGAGCTGGAAAACCTACTCTGATTCTGTGGTGCTGCTGCTGTTTGAACTGTGGCTGGGCTGGGCCACCTACCCCATCCGTCAGCAATGTCCCGGCTTCACCCTTGCCTAACTGTCCTTTCAGGTGGAAGATGCAAGTGAGGTTATTTGTAAGAGGAAATAGGTGTGACTCACGGTTGACAGTTGATTGTAGGGGTCTGAAGATGAGCTGCTCCTGCACAAGCCCCAGCTCTGCCACTTGGTGGAGTGGAAGTGGCTTGGTAGCATTTCTTGTTTGCAAGGTCTGGCCAGACCCTCTGAAGGACCAGCAGGACATGGAACTGCTCATGGGCTTGTAGTGGCCGCTGAGACCGTTGGTGAGGGTTCCCTGCCTGCCCCATCGTGCTGCAGTTGCCTGTCACCTGGGACTGGAGGCTCTGTGGGTGTTCCATCCTGTTGTCTGACTTGACCAGGGTTGTGCATTTCAGAGCTCGTCACTGCTCAGTGTGATGAGATGTCTCCTGCAGGGCCCAGCTTTCATTCTGTGTATTCAGCCCAGGAATGACAGAGAACTCAGTGGGATCTGACTGAACAGGGCATTTTTGCCTCTTGTGTACTAGGTGCTAAGATAGTTCTGGGGGTCCCAAACACTGTCTTCATGGAGTTTACACTCTTTTATAATCAGATAATCCCTAAACATGGGATTTAAGGGCCCATATATTAAATTTTTAAAAATATTTTATTTTTATTATTTTTATGTTATGTGTATGCTTGTGTTGCCTGCATGTGGGTAAGTGCACCTGTGTCATTCAGTGCCCATGGAGGACAGAAGAGGCTGTCGGATCCCCTGGAACTGGAGTTATGGACAGTTGTTAGCAGCCATGTGGGTGCTGGGATTTGAACCTGGGTCTTCTGCAAGAACAGCCAGTGTTCTTAACCACTGAGCCTTCTCTTCAGCCCCAATGTACTAAAATTTTTTAAATTACATTTTGTGTGTGCATGTGGAGGTCAGAGGACAACTTGCAGGAGTCAGTTCTTGGTTCTCTCCTCCCACCAAGCATGTGAATCTCTGGGGATCAAGCGTAGGTCGTCAAGCTTGGTGGCAAGCACCTTTACCTACTGAGCCAGCTCAGTGACCTTAGGGGCTCATTTTAAAAGCAAACTGCAGTGTATCCAGATTACTCATTTAACATGGATAATGAATAATGTAGACAGAACTGGGGTAAAGAGAAAGAAAGTGGAGAAGGCGCTCTTGAAGACGTTTGATTGCTGTCATGTAGGGTTAGACTTAGCCTGTGCTGCTCAAAGGCAAAATTGGGCTTGGTACATTTATTTAAGCTAGTCAGCAAGTGCCAGGCCCTGTGGCAGCTGGAGGAGGCAGAGTACCCAGTAAGCTGCAGGCGCTCCCTGCATGACCAGCACCTAGTCACTTATCTAACTGGGTTGTGGCAAGTGACAAGGAAATCCAGGCTGCTGACGTGTGGGAGCCTGACCTGACCTGGCTGTGGGAGGAGGAGACCTTCACAGGCCTTTCTGCTGAGACTCTCAGGATGAAGAATTAGCTTAGGAGAAGGCAGGGTGGAGTCCCTTAGGTATGGGGCTGGTTGTACCTGGTCCTCAGGTGGGGACCTGATGCTTTGTTGTCTGAGCAGTTGAAATGCTCACAAGGCAGCACAGCAGGACCGGGAGGGAATGTGGCCTGTGGGAGGATGAAGGGCTTTATGCTCACTGCCCTTACTACTGACTTCCCTCAGAGCTCCTCATCAAGTTGGTGTTGAGGCTGAGGGCATTCTCAGTTTGCAGATAAGGCAGGAAATTAGAGACAGAAGTAAATCACTGAAGTTACAGAGCTAGTGAGTGGCAGAACTCCTGCTTCAGCTGGGAGTGTGTTCTGGAGCCCTTCTGTCTGTTCATCTACAGCTCTGGTACTTAGCAAAGGGCAGAGCTGTCAAGCTCCTGAAGCCACTGGTTATACGCTGGTAGGGGAGCATGTGCGCCCAGTGCTTGCTCTAGGGGGGCGTGTGTGCCCAGTGCTTGCTCCAGAGGAAGCCAGATGCCACTCGTTTGGGAGAGTGGGAGGAGGTTGTATCAGACAAATCTAAACTCTCTCTGATGGGGTTTTCCTTCATTATAAACACATACGTATATGTGTGTTTTTCCTCCAGTGACCATGAAAGACCCCAGGCTGAGAGCACTGGAACCAGAAGTACCAAGTGTCCCCAGAACAGGTAAGGTGCATATTCAGTCCAATGGTGAGGGACGATGGGAGGGAATGTCTCACCTGTCCATGAGTGCTCCGACATACCATCCATGGGTCCAGGGTGCCCTGGCACACCGTCCATGAGTGTCTTGGTACCCTGTCCATGGTATGCTGGCAGCAGATGCTTCTTGGTACCAGGGATTTAGCATTCATGGTCAACCTGTGCCAAGCACTGGACCTGTGACCTCAAGTAGTTATCCACGCAGCCAGTGACTCCTAAGGGCTCATTCATCACAGGAACCGGGCCGAGGTGCTGGTGCTTGTTTTCTTTTTCATAGCCGCACTTTGGTGTGTTTCTGGGTTACAGGGAAGAGTCTGGCTCAAAGATGGATGTTCCCTGCAGATCGGTTCTGTGTAGCAGCAAATTCTCGTTTTAACAACTAATTAAATTAAAGCCCTGAGCAAGTCATTTAACCAGCTGGGAGGTTCCTACCCCTGGCTGGAGCTTAGGAGTTCATTGGGTATTATGCAGACAGGTCAGATGTGATGTCTGGGTCCCAGCCCTTCACCTACTCTGCAGTGGGGCCTGTGCCAAGTGTTTGCAAAGTCTAAGGTGTTAATGACCTACACCACAGACCAAGAACCCCGGAGCTAACACTTGAACATCTTGATGTGGTTGTATCTGTTAGTTGTCTTAAGGGTTGTTTTTTTGGTCTTTTTGAGACAGGGTCTCCCTGTAGCCCCAGCTGTCCTGGAACTCACTATGTAGACCAGGCTGGCCTTGAACTCACAGAGATCCGCCAGCCTCTGCCTCCTGAGTGCTGGGACTAAAGGTGTGTGCCACCACGCCTGGCCCTTTTTTTTTTATTTTTTTTAATAATTTGCTTTACTGTTTTTAGGACTCAGGATTCTCAAAGTCCCAGATTCTAGCTTTCAGAACTGTTGAGGCTCTGATACACAGATCTGAGTTTAGTCTTAGTGACCTAACTGATCAGTGAGCTGCGGTTGTCAGTTTATTAGCAAGGGTACTGTGTTAGTTACTCCAGTTGCTGCTGTGACAAAATGCCCAGCAAAAGTAACTTAAAGAAGGAAGGTTAATTCTGGCTCATATTTTGAGGGTGCAGTCCGTCCTGGCAGGGAAGTTCCAGCACAGAAGCATGCATCACACTGCATCCACAGCCAAGAAGCAGAGGGCGGTGAGTGCTGGTGCTCAGCTCACTGCTTCCTTTCTATTCGGTCGGAGACCCTAGGCCATGGGAAGACATTGCCCACATTCATGCCAGTTTTTCCTGTTCTGTTAGCTTTTATGGGCGCACCCTCATGGACACAGGTGTATTTCCATGGTGATCCTGAATCCCATCAGGTAGACATTGAAGATGAACCATCTCGGGTACCAGGTGGGACACTGGGTAGGTGTTTGCTCTACTTACGTGCAGTCTGCTGACGTGATTTGCTTCATGGCTCAGTGGTAATGACCGAGTCTCCGACTCCCTTTGTTGTGGGAATTGTGAAAATGGTGAGATTTCATAAACTGGGACTCAGTACAGATCATAGGCTACTTAGAAGTGGTTTTTCTCAGTAGGGAAAGCTGTCCAAGTCTGACTCTTTGTTTTCAGTCTCTGTGTGTACTTCATGCCATCCCTTTTGTTCTGTTCTGTTCTGTTCTGTTCTGTTCTGTTCTGTTGTTTTGTTTTGTTTTTTGACAGAGGGTCTCATCTTGTGGTTCAGCCCGGCCTCAAACTTGAGATCCTCTTGCTTCAGCCACCACAGTGCTGGGATTGTAGGTGTTTGCCACCACACCAGGCTACACTGTCCCTAGAATTTCACTGAATATCAACTTAAACCTGAAATCAGAGTCAAGTGTTGAGGTCACCCAAGTGGATTTTCACTGTCGTAAAATGTAAATTTTGTTTCTTAAAAAGTATTTTATTTATTATTTTTTATATGTACGAGTGCTTTGCTTGTATGTGTGTAAGTGCACCTGTGTCGTGCAGTGCCCACAGAGGCCAGAACAGGCATCACGTCCCCTGGAACTGGAGTTAGAGATGGGGGTTAGCTGCCATGTAGGTGCTGGGAATGGAATCCAAGTCCTTTCCAAGAACAGCCAGTGCTCTTAACACTGAACCACCTATCTGTCCAGCCCCTTGTTTCTTAAAATTTTGTATTTTATGTGTATGAGTCTTTCACCTGCATATATGTAAGTACACCCATGTGAGGCAATACCTGCAGAGTCCAGAAGAGGGCATTGGATTCCCTTGGAACTGGAGTTATGAATGGTTGGTAGCCGCCATGTGGGTGCTGGGAACCCAGGTCTTCTGCAAGAGCAGCCAGTGCTCTTATCAGCTGAGCCATCTCTGTAGCTCCAGCAGTCACATTTTAAAGGCACAAAATTTTCATGTAGGAAAAGTACATTATGTGTACCATTAGCCACTAGGGTCACAGGGCCCTGTGACCATCCTGTGTGGTACCCTATTGAGCTGGCACACTTGGCCCCATCTTCAGCATTTTGTGACAGAGTCATACTCAGGAAGTCTCCAGCAGATGATTTCTGGAGACTTATACCTTAGAAGGTCTCGGAGACCTCCAGCATCAGCTGCTGGGAGTCCCAGCGGCCACTTCAGCCTCGTGTGGCTAGACTGCAAGAAGTCATCTTTAGGCATTTTTGTAAAGACTATTAAAATTTGACCAGTGACTACAAAATGTTTGGTATGTATGTATGTATGTATTTATTTATTTATTTATTTATTTATTTATTTATTTTGAAATAGTTTCATACCTTACAGAACGCCTTTGCTGACTGTGTAGGTTAGAGCAGGGCATCTCCTAACATTGCAGGTGACTGGCCTTTGAGGAAACCCCCCTGCCCCCCATGCCTCTGTAGCTAGGGTTGAGCCTGCATTAGGAAGCCGCCTCTATGGGTTTAGTGGGTTTCCGCTTTCCTTTTTCTTTCATGACAGCACTGTCTATCTGCAGTATCATGTTTGTAGACTGTCTTACTCAGAACAAATTGGAGTCTTGCCTGTTAAGGGTTAAAGCTCTAAGGCTGTACAGTGTTCTGTTTCATAATACCTAGCTTGAAATATCCAGATTCTGTCAGAAGTAAGTTGCTGTGCTCTAATATGATGCCATGGAGGTCAAAAGAGGGCTTCGGATTTCCTTGGAACATGAGGAAAGATGGTTCGTAGCTGCCATGTGGGTGCTGGGAATCGAACCCGGGTCCTTTGCAAGAGCAGTCAGTGCTCTTAAATGCTGAGTCATTTCTCCAGCCCCTCATTTTTTAAATTTATGTATTTTTTTTTATGTGTATGAGTGTATTGCCTGTATGTAAGTGTACCCATGTCATGCAATGCCTACAGAGGTCAGAAGAGGACATTGGATTCCCTGGAACTGGAGTTACAGATGGTTGTTAGCTGCCATATGGGTGTTGGGAGTTGAACCTGGGTCGTCTGCAAGAGCAGTTAGTGCTCCTAACCACTGAGCCATCTCTCCAGCACCAGTGTTTTATTTTTTAAACACTGTTTTCTTTTTTCCACATTTAAAAAATGTATATATGTCTTTATTGTTGCTTTGTGTTGGGGGGGTTCTTTTTTTGAGACAGGGTCCCTGTAGCCCCAGCTGACCTGGAACTCAGTATGCATAGACCAGGCTGGCCTTGAACTCACGGAGATGCCTGCCTCTGCCTCCCAAGTGCTGGGACCAAAGGTGTGCGCCACCACATCTGGCTGTTGCTTTGTTTTGGTTTGTGGTCCTAGAATAGAACCCTAGGTCTAGCATATGCTTGATAACCTCTTTACATTCTTTATGTCTTGTTGACTGTGACTATAGATTTTTTTGGTATAATTTTTTATATATAAGGTTGAGGTTAAATGGTTATTTATTTTTGAGAGAGGGTCTCTCTGTATAGCCCTGGCTGGCCTAGAAGTCACTATGTAGACCAGGCTGGCCTTAAATTCACAGGGATTTCCTTGCCTCTGCTTCCCAAGTGTTGGGATCAAAGTGTGCCACCCCGCCCAACGAAATGGTTGATATTTTATCTTAGTTCTTCCTACAAGAGTTGAGGTACTCTAAACATGGTTTCTTTCTTAGAAGACTATGGATTGAAGGCAACTAGTTATTTGTAATAACCTACAAAACTTACAGGTCTGGCAAGATGGCATGTGCCACCAAGCCTGACAGCCTGAGTTCGATTCCAGGACCCACATAGTGGAAGGAGAGAATCAACTCCTGAAAGTTGTCCTCTGGGCCTGGAGAGATGGCTCAGCAGTTAAGAGCACTGGTTGCTCTTGCAGAGGGCCTGGGTTTGGTTCCTGGCACCCTCATGGTAGCTAACAATCTTCTGTAACTCCAGTTCCAGGGAATCTGATGCCCTCTTCTGATCTCTGTGGGCATTGCACAACATGGGTGAACTTATATACATGCAGGCAATGCACTCATACACATAAAATAAAAATAATAAAATATTTTAAAAAAGGAAAGTTGGGGTCTAGAGAGCTGGCTCAACAGTTAAGAGCACTGGTTAATCTTGGAAAGGACCCAGGTTCAATTCCTAGCACCCACATGGCTGCTTACAACCGTAACTCCAGTTCCAAGGGAATCTGATGCCCTTTTCTGACCTCGGGCTTTGCACAACGCAGTACACTTACATACATGCAGGTAATAACACCCATACACAAAAAGAGTTTTTTTTTGTCTTTTTGAGACAGGGTCTCCCTGTAGTCCCAGCTGACCTGAACTCACTATGTAGACCAGGCTGGTCTTGAACTCACAAAGATCATCATGCCTCTGCCTCCCAAGTGCTGGCACTAAAGGTGTGTGCCACCACGCCTGGCCCCAAAATAATTTTTTAAAAAAAGGAAAGTTGACGAGCTGGGTGTGGTGGTGCATGTCTTTAGTCCCAGCACTTGGGAGGCAGAGGCAGAGGTGGATCTTTGTGAGTTCCAGGCCAGCTTGGTCTACACAGCGAGTTCCAGGCCATCTGGTGCTACAGGGAAACCCTGTCTCAAAAAGACACACAAAAAAAGGGACCGTTGTTCTCTGACCTCCACGTCAGAGCACTGGCTGCGTACAAACTGTGGCATGTACACACAAATAAATAATTCTGTGAAATTACGGTTAAGATACAATTTGGTTTTTATGTAGTTATTTAAATTGTTATGTTTTGCCCAAATAGCATACACTGTTATTTGTAAAGTTATCTAACTACATTTATTTATTTATATTTTATGTGTATGAGTGTTTTGCCTGTGTGTTAAGTGCACCTATGTCATGCAATGTTCATGGAAACTAGAAGAGGCCCTTGGATCCCCTGGATCCAGAGTTAGCTGCCAGGTGGGTGCTGGGGACCGAACCCAGGTCCTCTGCAAGAGCAGCCAGTGTTCTTAACTGCTGCGCCATCTCTCGAGTCCCCTAACTACTTTCTTAATAGTCATATTATTAGTTAATGTGTTAAGTGATTTAAATGTTCTTAATTGGGGCTGAGGATGTAGTTCAGTGATAGGGTGCTCTCCTACTCTGTGCAAAGCTAGATTACCAGAACCCCCCCAAAAGTTCTTGTTTTGAAAATGAAGATCACGTGTCATTAATTCAACTTCTTTCATAATTACACATTTTATACTTAAACTGACTAGAGTTTTGACTCATAAGACACAGGACTTACTCCTGGTCTAGAATGTGCTATGTGAATGAATGTTCAGATGTGAACTGATGTTAAATATTATAAATATGCTTCTTGTCCACAATACCAGCATTGTGATCATTACAAAGGCATGAACCCCGTAGTGATTTCTTGTACAAACAGGTCTAGAATGCCAGAATGCCACCAAGTCAGGAAGTTGACTGTTCAGCCTTGAGCCTTCCCAGAGACCAGCACTAAAGCCAGGTGCCAGGCCTGGCCTGGGCATGTGGCCTGAAGCAGAGCTTCACTAAGTCCTGCTTCACCTGCCTTTTGGACCAGGAGTGCTCCCCATGGGCAGACTGGTCAAGTAGTTGTAGAGTGTCAACTTGGTTATTCAAAGCAGTGCTAACGGCCCCCTACTGCGATCAGAGGGTTGCTCAGAGATGGTAGCCTTCTGAGCAGAAGACTCAAAGAGACAGCTAGCCATGTGGGGATGTGGGGAAGAGCGCTCCAGGAGGGAGCAGGAAGTGCAAAGGCCCTGGTGGGGCCTGGTCTCTGCATGTTTGAGGAGACAGGATGGTTCAGGGAGGTGAAGAGGCAGGGAGATGCTGAGGAGCTGGTAACTGGCTATGTGACACCAGACCTTACAGGACATTGGTGAGGCTGACCCTGTTAGCTCCAAGGGAAGCACTGGGTGATTTTAAACAGGGGACTGATAGTTCCTGATTACAGTATTTCAAAGTTTCCTGTGGTTGTTTGGTGATGAATAGATTATAGGAGCCATGAACACAGCAT